GTTGTCAGACAGTATATCTGGCCATTGCTATGCTATTATAATGTTATCATAGCCAGTTATTCAGCTGACGAAAAAATGGCTTAAGATTGCGTAAGCTGGGTTTTTTCCAAAGTAAGCGTCACTGTCTTTTGATAATATAAAACATGTACTGTAATATAGTACGTCATACACGTACATTTGAAAGGAGAACATTTAAAAATTAGTGAAAACTGTCTTGAATAAATAGCATATTAAGAAGATCTTAATAAAAGTGTTCTGCATTGACAGACTCCTCTATCACAAACATAAAAAGGAGGAGTATTGAGTCAAGAGTAATTGACAAGTGGGATAAGTTCAGCATTGAGCTCAATGGAGATGGCATTTACAGTCAATATGAATGGTAAAAAAATGCAGTCAACACCATAATGAGCGCTAGCGATGTATGACTTGTTTGCCTGCAAAGCTACGCCATTGATACACAGTAGACTGTCATATCAACATAATTTTAATGGTTTTATTTACCTTTTTGGAGTATTTTAATATAAGGGAAACTGAAAAGTCCTTAAATCATTTCACATATAGTTTAATTGATATTTGTACCATGTATGCCTGATCGGTGGATAGAACAGCCATCTTACAGGGTTGGTGAGTAGTATCTAATGTTACAATTTGTATGTCATAATACTGATGATGTCATCTCGTGGGCCATACAGTCGTAAATATAGAATATAAAGATACTCTTATATAACATTACCTCTTAACTCGATACAAGCAGACAACAAAAAGAGGAGGGAGCGGAAAAAACACCAAAGAAAAAGCAACATATCATGAATCCCCATAAAGTGTTTCTTTTCCTAAGTGAGGAGAGACTATTACGGAATCTTTCAACACTAATCTAGTGTGTAGGTCATCTTACTTTTATCCACAAATGTTTATTATTTTGCTGCAAAACATTTCAGAAATACAGTATATCCCTTATTTAAAAGTCATTGACTTTGGGTTTTAACTGATATGAATTCGTATTTTAAGCATTCAACATAAAAATCTATCAATACACGTACTGTTGACGTGAAAATCCTGTGTGTAGAAAAATACGCAATCTGACTCTTAAAACTGTTTGTTGTATGGAAATGTTCACATCGGCAACGGGTTTTAAATATTTATATTCAGTATATTTTTAACCTTTATAATATATAGATATATATTCGTTTGTGAATATGTTGGTGCCTTTAATCAGCGTTAAAAACCCGAGTATTTCACACCGCAAGAATTTCAAACTTTACACTTGTATTTTATATATATATCCAGGTTTTAACAAGGATTACTGCACAGCATATGTATTCATTACTTGCACACTATACATGTTCTCCTGTATACTTCCGTTATACGTGATGTCTATGTGTGAAGAGTTCATAATTCACAATATGAATTAGAATACTTTGATACGACTCATAGAAACTGATCAGTCATTCCGAAACGGCGTTGAAAAGATTGTGAGATCGTCAGGACAAAAGGCAATATCTTAAAGTACCCTAGCAATTATTGTTCAGTTAAAGCACCTGTCAGTCTATAATTAATACTATACCTTTAAATTATAGCACAGACTGTTTGTATTAAACGTGTTGATTGTCCCTGTCACAGAGTGAATACAGTTTTATGAAAATAGGGGACAGCTATACAGTATCGTTATTATATATAACGGTATATGACAGAGAAAAGTAGTTTATAGTTAACACTGATTTATCATAAGGCCCAATGGATAATGACAGCAAATGGCTATCTCACACAATTCGGATAGATAAGGAAGAAAATGATGATCCCACAGAAATGCTTCAGAATGGTGTTTTATAAGCTTGCCTTCGTTACATTTGTGTTGAGAATGAAATATTTACTGTAGATAACAAACCATACTTGAGCCAGGGGGCAGTAAAGTATGGTCGAACTGCATATCCTGTAATTTTACATTTTATTTTTGTGTTTCCCCCCACATATGTAACTCTAGTAATCTGGTTTCGAATACTGTAGAATCATTTATTTTCGTGGGGTTAAAAGTTCGTGGTTTTCGTATACTAGTCTGTTTCAAGGACATTATATTTCACTATTTTTTTATTTTCTCCTATCTAAATTATACCAAATTTATGTTTTCGTGGGGATTTAATTTCGTGGATTTTTGTTATCCACGAAATAAACGAAATTTAATGTCCCACGAACATTTATGATTTTACAGTATTGGTTATAACATTTTATTATTTGTTAAAACATACAGCTGTAGACTATGGTCACTTAGATTGATATTCATTTATTTCCCTTTGAAACGGAAAGTTAAATGACCTTTTGCCGATTGAGAAAGCCAAGTAATGTTAACATTTACTTACACAAAACGCTCGTACCGTTCATTTAGAATTCTGAATTTTCATCATAGTGTTTAAGGCCAAATAGTCTTAAGTTTTCCAAAATTCATAAGTAGAAATACACTTGGAAGAGGTTTTGTTTTGTTTTATAGGGTTTAACGTCCTGTTATTAGCTAAGGTCATTTAAGGACATGCCTCCATGTGTGCAATGTGTGGATGTGTGCTGGAGGTCCTTTCGATAGCGCAGATCTGATGCCGAATTCAGTGCTACCTCACTGAAACACCATGCCGAAGGCACCCATCATACATGTAGTATCCGCCCGGTCGCCTTATATTGACATCGGAAAACCAGCTTTTGTCATTATCCTAATTGCTGAACGTAAAGCAGGGAATGACAACTACCTTTGTATGTCCCGGAATAGGGAAAAAACCATTGCCTTGCTCACCTTGGCTAACGTTCAACGTTAAAGCCAAATATGAGGTATTGCCAAGCGAGGGGCCATGAAACAAAAGGTAAATAGAAGCAGAGAGAAATATAAAGATTCCAGATATTGCAATGGGTGCAGCAGATTTATTTTGATCGATTTTCTATGCCCAAGAAGAGGGCACAAACGCAAATCCCCAATTCTGCAGAAATTTCCCAAATTAGTCTCCGTTTACGATCATGCACTGGCTAACTGCACCTGCATGAGTACATTTGGAAGAGAAAAATGCCCATAAAAACCTTTATAATGTTTAAAACTCAGATTAAGATCCTTTGAAAACAGCAGACAATTTGTTCGTAAATGTTAAATGAGCATTTCATGTAAAAACGTACCGAAGTAAATTCAAGCAACATGGTTCACCTAGCCTAGGGGATTGGTAATCAAACAGCAAAGTCAACTACCTTGTTACGTTAAATACTCACTTGAAAACTTAATAATAAAGTTAGACGATATCATAGACAAAAACAATTAACGGGGGAAAATAGATCTGTGCAAATGTTGACAGTCACTATACAGAAGTGTTCTCCAAAAGAAAAACAACCCCAGATTGGCCCTTGTGTTATATCAAGCCCCCGGGCCTAAACGTGTAGGTAACTTTGGCAAAATTTGTGTCTGATATGAAACGGTCTTTAAATAACATCTTAATATTCTACAATTAAATAACATTTGATAGTTGCCATAATCACAAGTCCTAAAACGAAATCGTATTTAAATTATATTTGTACATTACAAAACGAAATAATTTGAATGCATTTTGCATACGTAAGCACGAGTCCAGAAGCGGATCCAATGGGGTGTCACCAGCGCACGTGTGAATTGAATATTCAATGATTTGTTTAGTTCCTGACTGGTACCGGTGATTCTTTAGTTATATATTACATAGTCTAGGCCACACAACAACCTCCCACCCCACTCCAACAGGTTAAAATTATGTGTTGATTCTAATTGATATCACCATCCTAGCATCAGTTAGCACACCCTGATACAGACTTTTTACCTGTAGGGTCGGTGGTCCGTAGTAGCCACAGGGCACATATGTTAGTTTGCAAGAAGGACAATTAAAAATTGAAATAAATGAATTAATAAAATCTAATTAATACATTAATTATTCATTCCACTCGGGCATTTTACACATAAACAAGAGAAGAAAATAAAACAAGAAAGATTTAGATATAGACCCTAAAAAAAGTAAAAGGCCTAGAACAGTATCTAACTTAATTTTGTGCAACATGACATATGTTTAACACAGCATTTGTCGCAAAATAATCTGAAAATCTGGAATGGTGACACCCTCCTGAAAAGAAGCTGGATCCGCCCCTGACGACTTCATCTTATGTTTATTGTAATAGAAGGCTGTATTAACAAAATCATTATCACATGAACATGGTATGCAATTGTCTTCTTCCGATTAATAAATGTGAAATGTTTATGTAAATGTAAAATAAACGTACAGTATCGAATTATAAAACCAGACACTGTCCTCACACAACAAAATATCACTGGTGGTGGTATTTGCTAGCGACATCGCAGCATACATCAAAATGTAAAATATATATACTTAACAATATCTCAAGAATCCGTAATGGTCACATTGCACCGTCATCAAAACATCTGTATATCGATGATTATAAAATCGACATACGGCGATTCGTTGCAGCAACAAGTAATTACTATATATTTAACACACAGGTTAACGGAACCAATGCAATTAACTATACAATGATAAAATAAAGCGCCTGCTATATTCAATAAAAATAAATTATGTTACAGATACTTTTATATCATAAATACTCAATATATACATTTATATTATATGCTTTGTCACAATGTTAATTAATATCATTTATATATATCAGATGCATTCTTGTGGATGTAAATTCATGCATACATTGTTATAAAATAAAATAAACAAGCATATTTCTTTATTTTAATGTAACACATTATTCAATGATAACGTTTAATTTGTTTTTCAGTTTTAAGATTGAACATCAGATGATGTCACGGTACTTAAGATATATAACACATCTTAGCAATCAAGGCAACATTCACTTCAATATTCTAAGCATCAAAAATTAGAATAAGCATAGCATATTAAAAACAAACACTACACTGTATATAATCGTTTTTAAACGAAACGCGTCAATGTGTACGCACTAATCATAAAATAAAAGCAAAATATACTTACAACTGCTTGACATGGAAACACTTGATGAATGAGAATAATTGTAACGCAAATCCACAACCCAGTCATTTTTCAGCCATGAAGTGTACCCCAGTGTCTCTCTGGTGGAAATTTTAATATCAACGGCAGTATATCCTCTTTACATCCTGTTTTGTTCAAATGCTCTTGATATATTGTTCGTAACACGAGTATTAGTAGACAGCTTTCTAACGTGGAAAAAATGATAAACTATTTCGATTAAGTAAAATATGTATGCTAAAGAAAATAATCACCGTTTAAACGCTCGACGTTTACGTCAACAAAAGATGCTTTATTCCTGCTAACAAAGTGTTCTCTTCTTGAGCGAAGAATACCTTCGCGAGGTTTTTGTCCAGGTGAAAAGAAATAATGTGTTATAAGAGAGTATGTCTCTCGCGTGTTGGATTGAACTATGTTCTGCACCCTTACCAGCTTAACAAAGTAAAAAGAGTCATTAAAAACCAAATAAATAAATTTAATGAAAATACACGTCCTTATTTACTTTTACCTATCAGGTATGGAGACTAAATATTCATCAAATTTGTGAAATTAATAAATGAGTTTTAGACACAATCTAAAAACTTCCTGACTGATAACCTAACAATGCTACAATTGTATGGTCCTAGTGACATGAAAAGGTATATCTGAATAAGATTTCTTGCGTTAGGTCTATATAACTAGCAAATACATTCTATTTGTAATTATTAGCATTTCTATTATGAAAAACATGATATAATTAAACAGTTCAATAACCTAATGTTGAATGGTAAAGTCTGAAGGTCTTCTTTAATATATCAGTTTAAACTATTAAACATTATATAATTACTAACACCATCACGAATGGACACGTGTAAATATGACAACAGGTTGCAAAAGGATCTGATTATATAAATGTATTTTTCTTATGCTGAAATTTATGTTATTTACATATGAACGTTATTCTTAAATACTTCTTTCTAAGAATTCTGTTACAATAAATGTTAAACATTTTGCAGCAATATAATTTTTAATTCTACAACAGTAAATATATGCATCATACAACTATAATCGTATAATTCATAAGAGTAAATGTTATCTTTAAAACATGTTAAAGTAAACGTATAGTTATACTGTAATACATATAATAATACTGAAAACCTCAAATGAAAGTATAAATCTGCGTTAATTTTTTGTCTTTTTCCTACTTCTTTACATCGTCAATATCGTTTCTGCAGATTGCCCCCTCCGGCCAATTGTTCGCGGGTTATAATATATTATATACTATTTACTAATTGAAATCCAATGAATGTCACTAGCACTGGAATTTGTCCAATGTTTTGTTTAGTTAAATGTTGGATAGATCTCACCTACTCTTAACTCGAATCTTAACAATTCTATCATTATGTGTTTTAAAATTCATTTGCGAGTTGTTTTTGCCTATCACATTTACGCCAAAACAGTAGTAGTATTTGTCATTCTGAATTAAACAGCAATGCCTGTTCCTTGGGACTTTAACGACAAGTCATGATGTTTTCAACGAAGAGTTAGGCATGAAAGCTTTATAATAACACTATAAATGAAAAATGTAAAGCTATATTGAAGTGACTCAAATCAAATTTCTTTTCTGAAGAACAAGCCTATTTGGAGGTAGAACGGAACTTTGAAACTGATGATAAGTCTGAAAAACTGTTGGTCTTTAACAGTTTGGAATTGGATACACTATTTCTTTAAAATACTACCGGTAATATATTAACCCAAATTTAGATATTTCTTTTCGAAATCTTGAAATTTTCGCATGATTTTACCGGGTATTATTTTGGTTCTTTGGATGCATGTTTATGATCTTTATTTAATAAACATCGCAATAAACTCACGAAAAGTACGCAATAAAGTATGGTACCTAAGGACATTAAGTCGTATATTCTACAACAAAAACGTTCAATATCTGGAGCAATATTTGTTTATATTTTTAGAAATATGTCAATTATCAACAATGATAGATAGATCACGAGTAATGTGGAAATAATTTATTCAGGTAGAAACACATGCATTTTATCAAACATACAATTGAGATGTTTGTGTTTAGACCTAAGCAAAAATGTATGTAATTACGTTGGAATATTTAGACAAAATGGTGTTTATTTTTCTCAACAGTAATATGTTTAACTCATATTAAGTTTGCTTTTTATTTCAAGTCTTGTTTTGCGTTTCTTTTGTCACGATTAAATCCGTTGTATACTTGTTTGTATCATTTCGGCTAAGTGCTAGGTCTTTTTATAAGAAAGCCGTGTTAATTATTGAAATAGCAACGGAGCATTTTCAATCATTAGTAAACTCACATGTGCTTTATAACGTGAAAATGAAAGCGTTCAATAGGAATGCCAAACCAGTTTTTGAGCGCATGCATGCTGTTACAGCTCATTATCTAATATAAGTGGACCAAACTCATTTTAGACAATTTTGTAACAATATTATTGTGTGGTGAATGTATTGCGTCAAGTATGTCCCTGACACATGCCCTTTAAGTAAGTACATAGGTGCATTGTATTGTTGTCATCATGTGTAAAAATAACGTAAACGACACAAAGGTGATTGCACCAGGTTATGTCAGTAATAAGACACAGTACTGCAGAAATGAATTACACTATGCCATAAAGCTCTTGCTTTCGACAGTGCGGAGAACGTCATAAATTACGTTGTCAAGGTATCTTCAAAGTTCTTCTGTGTTTTTTATATGTTCGGCTCTCTTCATAGATATTTTGTAGGTCAACGTGAATAAATATACAATTTATCATCAGTCAAACAAGACTAAACATAAGAAAAACTAAATGCCCGTGATAGGTGCATTGCAATAATGGCTTTCTGCTAAATAATACTATATATCATGACCGCTATACAATACACATGCATTATATAAAAAACACTGTTTCCCAAAACAAGTAAGTATGTATGATGCACAAAAACTAAAATGCGATTTATACTATAGACCTACTTGCTTTTTGTACGTAAATATCTTATGTCTGTCATTGTAAACATACGTAGATAACACAGACATTGGAGGATGCTTTATTGATAAAATGGTGATGTAATCATTCTAATCTCAAACATTGTAGAATATATTAGGCCTAGAAATGACAGATCATTAATAAATGGCAGGTGAATAGAATTTGTCCTTTTTACATTAATGATTGAATTAAATGGTAAACTAATTCTTTTATGGGGATATCGGCACAGTATTATGTATCCCGGTAGTTAAAAGTTCTATAAAATAAAAACAAAATAAAAAAAGCAAAGTCGTAATTTTGAGGACAAAAGAATAAAATGGTAGAATATGTCTTACATGGAGAAGTGGTACCGTATACCTGATCACTTAGTAACGAGTTACATGGGACAAAACAAAAACAAAAAGAATTCCACTGCGTCGAGACCAGAAATCGAGGTCTGTGAGATGAGGAACCGAGGAGACATCAAAACAAACTCCTAACCTCATCACCACGCTCGAAACAACGTGCTTCTGAAAGGGAAAATGTTTCACGCACCATGCATATTTAGCACTGATGCAGACACATGCGTTCTTTTAAGTCACACCTTCCAACACTTGAGTTGTTATATGAGAGACAATGTCTAAAAATATGCAAGCAGAGGTACTTAATTGAAAAACACTAATAAAATCACGTTAGTCAAAAGTAGCCAATATTTCAGTTATATTTCCATTGCACGCTAACAGCATATACATCATAAATACATAGCTAAAGTAATGAATATTTTCAGTTGTACATGTGTACAGCAATATATAGCTACAGTAATGAATATTTACAGTTATACATATTTACAGTTATACATTGCTACAGTAACGAATATTTTCAGTTGTACATGTGTACAGCAATATATAGCTACAGTAAGGAATATTTACAGTTGTACATATTTACAGTTATACATTGCTACAGTTATGAATATTTTCAGTTTTACATGTTTCCAGCAAAATATAGCTACAGTAGTGAATATTTACAGTTGTACATAGCTACAGTACAACATATTTACAGTTATCCATATTATCAGTAATATATATTAACAGTAAAACATTGCTACAGTAATAAATATTTACAGTAATACATCACCACAGTAATACATATTTTAACTTTATACATATTTTCAGTAATTCATATTTACAGTTATGTATATTTACATTAATACATATTTACAGTAATACATGGCTACCTTATTTAATATTTATAGTAATCCATGGCTACAATCATTCATATTAACAGTAATACATGGCTACACTAATTCATATTTACAGTGATACATGTCTACAGTAATTCATATTTACAGTGATACATGTCTACAGTAATTCATATTAACAGTGATACATGTCTACAGTAATTCATGTTAACAGTGATACATGTCTACAGTAATTCATATTTACAGTAATGCATATTTACAACCGTTGAAATATATTTACAGTAGTGATATTTTGAGTAATATATATTTAGGCTATACTATCGTATGGAGGAATGGTTCAACAACACCAGACTTAAAATTTGGAATGAATTATCTTCATCTTTTGTTAATCTATCGATTAAGATATGCATTAAAAATCCAATTACATGTTAATTTTATGAAGTTTACGTATTTTGAAACAGCATTAAGTTTGTAAGCAACGCGGACTTAATCTTGCTTATACACCATAGTAAACAGCAAAATTGTATAACAGACAGCAGAATAGTACGAACATCAAGCAGTTTGTGCAGAATGTGATTGATATATTAACTCTCACAAACGTTTAAAGGGACCACCAGAAGCCTTAATAGATAACCATGAAGGCATTTACGCATCAAATTTGAATTTACCTCGCTTCACAACATAAAATTAATATTTTGAATTGGATAGTTGCAGACATACAATGTTTACGTCTGTGGAAAACAGTGTTTTTGTGTAAAGTTTAGCGTGTAAAGAGGTTACGTTCACACCTAGCAACAATGAGATAATGACTTAAACGGAAAAAGGCACCTCACTGTCTGTGTTATAGAAAAGATCATCCGACACATCTTAATAATGATTGCATGACTTTGAATCTGATGTAAATAAATACATGTTTTTCACACTGTTCAGTTAAAAATTATTAAATA